TCGTGCACGCTCTGTTTAAAAGTTGCTGTTCTCATGGCTCATACAATCTTACTGTGCCTGAAAGTCTGCCCTAAACCCTAAATCCCTCAATCACTATATAGAGTGTGGACTATATAGTTTATAGCAACTTCAATTAATCTACCATTTGGACAGATGGTCACTTAACGCCTCCTTCACTGTGCATAATTCCAATATATATCTGCCTCTTCTGAGGCCTTTCTTTTCTTTTCATACACTTCGTAGACACTTTTTTCATTATGATCCTCGACCATTTTCAAAGAACCATGGTGAGAAAGATGAGCTTCAATGACTGTCTGAAACTGTAGCTCACCTCATATATATGCCTGAAAGTACACATGCACAGAAAAAGATAGCTACCAGGACCAGCACGCAGGAGTTTGGAGTTACTAATCGGTTTTAGTCTATCCCTAACTTTCTTTGCATTCCTACCCATATATTTTATTCTTTTTGTTCAATAATTCCAACCTGTGAGCCAAACCCTAAACTGTGGACTAATATTATTCAAGTTTTTGTTCGTAGAAGAATTGCTTGAAAGTTTGCAAAAAATTTTTGCGAAATTTTCTTGGTGGACCCATAAAAAAATAAAATAAAATAAAATAAAATAAAATAAATAAATATATATATATATATATATATATATATATATATATATATATATATATATATATATATATATATATATATATATATATATATATATATATATATATATAAAACTATATTTACTTACTTTTAATACTGTAAATCATTGGAGTTTGAGGTTTTAATGGTACTCTATACTAACAATTCATGTCCTGACTGGATGCTACATCTCTGCAACTGTAAACTGGCAAAGGTCCAATAAAGACAAGTGCATGTTTTTTTGTTTCTGAATGAAAACAGTTGGAAAAAAATCTATATAAGCAAAGGCTATCGAGAAAGGTTAATGACTACAGTTTCACAAACTTTGTGAGTGTAAAAAGAAGAGGGCTCATCTATTTCAGGCTCTCTAATTGGATATTTACAGAAATCTAGAAGAAATATGAATCTGGCCTTTGTCTTCTGATGGCAGCCATAGTGGGGAGATGTTGAAATGGGAAGTTTGCAGCATGTGGTCTGCTGATAAGGATGGCTTAGGCTTGCTCTGGGCTTTTTCAAGTTCTTGTTTTGAAGAGGGTGTCTGTGTCAAAAACATTCGAGGCTGTCAGTCCGTTGTTACACTGCAGGTTACAACCAATATGTTCACACACACAATATGTTCAGAAGCACACAAAAGGTAAACAATTCAAGCAGAAGTTATTGAGCAGACAATTAAAAAGTTCTTCAAAATCCTGAAATTCTCAGCCTGACATCATGACGCCTGCTCCTGGGGATCGACGTGCCTCTCGCTGTGAACGTGTGTTTTTGGTGCCACCCAAAGCTGCAAGACTCGCCCTAACTCTGACGTGGGGTCTGTAATAGGGCCTGATTGTTTCCTGCTTTGGGTCGTGATTTTTATCGTTTCATCTCTTGGCAACTCCGCCACCCACCAACTCATCTCTCACTATGTTCTAGAAACTTTTTTTTTTCCCAGGAAAAGCACAGTTTGCTCAATCCCTGCTCCATGTTCACATGCAAAATTACCTCCAAATGCTCCTGCACCTTTCAACAGCTTGGATTGGTTGTTGCACAATTACTTTAAGCTTGTTGAAAGTGTTGGTCATTAAATACAGATGTTCTGTTTAGGTTTGGCAAAATTATGCAGCTCTTAGGAACCCCACAGGAACATTTGTTTCTTCATAACAAGTAATAACTTTAGGGCCAATAGGGATTCTAAATTGAAGGAACATTCTTCCAAGAATTCAGAGTTCAATGGTTGTTTCTTTTTTATTTAAAAGCTGCAGATTTTCTGTTGTTCAGAACTTAATTTATAAAAGGAGACACTAATGTTTAAGTGTAAATCCAGATAAATATTGCCCAGGAATGTATGCCCATGGCACGTCTGAGACCTGAATAGGGTTGTATAAATAACTAGCAAAAAGAGGTCATTTAAGCTCTTTTTGTATTTTCACACTGTCTTTTTTCCCCCTCAAAATGTGTGATGTGTGTGTGCACCCCATTACATATCTCTTTCTCCTAACTCATGATGTGCCTACACCAGATGTATTAAATTTGAATGTTAGACTCTTTTACAGAAACCCTATTATCTCAGTTATTCTCAGTCCTTGTCAAATTCTATTTTTGATCTTTTAGGTTAAAATGTATTTGCTGTGTTTGCATTGAAAGGCTTTTTCCAACTGTTTGGACGTCATGTTGCTATTTAAGAAATGCTTGACATTCCGTCATTATTTTCCTTTGTTCCCATTTACAGGACTCAGTTTTCCTCATTGCTGGCATAATGCAGAGTTCTTTATATTTTTGGCGTAGCTTCAATGATGAGGTGCAAAAAAACCTGTCCTTGGCCAATCATTCTAATCCTTTTCTGACCTAAAAGAGCAGAAGTGTGTGAATCACAAGGAACTGGCTTAATGTAAAGATCAGACAGCAGAGAAGCCCAGTGCACCTAGATTACTGACTGCAGTCGAAAAAAACAAAACTTATAAAAAAAAGGAAACACAAAGTCTAGTTTACCTTCTTATACTTTGATCACACTATAGGAACCACCATAGATCTATGGAGAAAATAGCTTTGAGTGTTCTAGTTTGGTTATCAGATTCTCTTCTTCTTACCTCTAGTATACATATGTCACAGTAAAGTCAATTTGAAGAAAAGAGAAGAAATCTTCAGAGTGGTGAAAGTGTCAGACCCTCCACGATGTTAGTTGAGTAGCAAAGCTACTCAAATTGAAAGGTTTACCCATTGGGACCTTTAAAAATTGATCCCTTGAAATGAAACTTGAAATGAGAAAAAGTTGCTTTATTTTAATGTATTCTCTTTTAAAAAGAACCCCAGTTACTCCTTTTATGGATCGAAGTTAAGTTTTCAATTCAATTTCAATTCAGTTTATTTATAAAGCGCCAAATTTCAAAGTTTTCTATCAAAGAACCAGCTGATTGCATCCACTCATTGACACTTCAGCAATCCCTTAAACTAACCATGCTTGTAGCAACAGTTGAGAGAAAAACTCCCTTTTAACAGAAAGATATCTCCAGTAGAACCAGGCTCAGTGTGATTCAATAAGTTAAAATAGTAGGTATTAATAATTAGACCATAAGAGAATTAATGGAGATAAATTCATAGTATTGAAAAAGGAAATACTTTAAATGCAAAAATTCATAACACTGGGTAATCTATAAAATAATCTGATTTGAAAAGGGTTAAAATGCTATGAAATGTTTTGCTTAACTCAGGACAACGTGAGCAAATCTAACTATAAGCAAAAAGGAAAGTTTGAAGCCTAACCTAACTAGAAACCTCAAAAACAATTCTCTCAATAGATCAACAGGGAGGCAAATGGCAAAATTTTGAATGGATTCACAAAATAAATATTTTTATTCTCTGAGGGTTTTTTGAAATAGTAAATGTGCTAAAGAGGAGGTGAAAACATATTTACAATATCAAATGTATCTACAACACCCATCATTGTTATACACAATTATGAGATACAAATTATCAAGCATTAAACACTAAATAAATTGGTACATAAAAGTAGCAGTAATAAAAGAAACACACTAAGACAAAATTAATATAGCAGATTCTGATTGGAGCCTTTTTTCAGGGAGCAGTATGGACAACAACAGAGGGGCAATATCGATGTGTGACACCATCAACAAATGTTATTTTGCTGATTTAAATGTTCCATCTACAAGGAGGTGGCGCCCCCTTGTGTTGTGCAGCTGAGGATCCTTACTGATAAATGAAAGAAAGTTTGAAACATCAGCTTTGATTTCCATCCATTCATTATCTTACACGCTTGTCCCAATTGGGGTCGCGAGGGGTGCTGGTGCCTATCTCCAGCAGTCAATGGGCGAGAGGCGGGGTACACCCTGGACAGGTTGCCAGTCCATCGCAGATCAGCTTTGATTTTCTCACTAGATTTAAGGTCTATTTAATACTATTTTCAGTAATCTTAATTACTGTAAATTTTTGCTCCAAATAAAAAAACAGAAATACCTTGGCAGAGTTTAAAGGACCTTTATTTATTTAGTACAAAAAAAAAACACATTGCTGATTCCTCCAAGTTATTAAACAGCAGTTATAAAATTATCAACTTTGCGTCCATTAATCTAAATTTAGATTTGTGGACAATAATTATCTCTTTTAATCTGTGGAAAGATCTAAATTTTTATAATATAACATTATTTTATTTAATATTCAGGACAGTAACAGAAAGTACTGCTAGGTACCTAAGATGAGCGGAGTGATGTATGCAGTTCAGTGCAGTGAGGAATGCTCTGATCTTTATATTGGAGAAACCAAACAACCTCTCCACAGACGCATGGCTCAACACAGGAGAGCTACCTGACTCGGTTTCCATCTACACTTTATGGACAAAGGACATTTTTGTGAGGACCAGAATGTTTAGATTTTGGACAAAGAAGACAGGTGGTTTGAAAGGGGTGTGAAGGAAGCCATTTATGTTAAGAGAGAAAAACCTACAATGCAGCAGTAGAAATTATTTCTCCTCAACCCCCATCGCAATGCCAACAATGACCCTAATGACCCCCTTTCAGAGGCATAAACCAGTATTGGGTATTGCAGGCTAACAAAGACCTGAATCGACTCCCCATTCCTAAGGGGTGGACCCATTCTTCTGGTTAAATTTGTATGTTGTCTAAGCCAAAACAAGGCTTTGTTTGGGCTACTCTATAAAGCTTGTAACTCGACGCTAATTCTGACATTTTGAATTAAAATAGCTTCCGAGATGGGAAGCGAAACATCTTCAAACTTGGAAAACAAAGTCCTGGTGATTTTTTATTTATTTTTTACTTTGAATGACTAATGACTGGATGACTGACAATCTTCACCAGCGTAAGATACTGCCATGTTTTAGAGTAGAGGAAACACTAATGGGAGTAGTATTTTAGTTGTAGATGATTCAATTAAAATGCTTTTATTTTATATATATTTTCAGTAAATGCATCTACTGATTTGATCCCCAATTACAAAATTTCATACTCATGTCGGTGATTATAGTTTTTTTTCACCCCATTAAAATGTTTTGCTCTTCTTCCCGACGTTCTCATACAGTCTTCCCCCCGCAAACATGCCAACAAGCCATTCAAAATACTCTTCATATCACAGTAGCCACACTCTTATCTATTACAAACGTATGTACATATAACAAACTCTTGTATGGTTAACAGTTAGGTTATCCCAGCTTTATTGATTTGTCCTTCATTTTCTGCAACTTGGCCTTCAGGGTGGTACAGTTTGTAGCACCATTGCCTTGCAGAAAGCTCCTATGTTCAGTTTGTGGCCTGAGGTCTTTCTGCATGAAATCCACATGCCCTCTTCAACATACTCAGTTTCTTTCTGGGCAGCACTGCAACAACAGGACTATTGGGTTGATTGCCATCTCTAAATTGACTTTAGATGCGAGTGTGTGTGTGCATGGTTATATATCCATGTGATGGAATAGTGAGCTGTTCAGGGTATACCTCATCTTAGGTATCAGCCCCCTGTGACCATGACGGACAAGTGATAGAAGATGGATGGATGGATGTCTTTGACTTGAGCGTTCACTTTATAAAACCACAAAGTTGTCTCATTCTGAATGTTGCACTGATGCACAGTAGGTACCAAAAAGAAAATCCCAGTGAGTAAAGTAGGGGGCAAAGTTGGTATTCTGCTTATTGTGATGGGCCTGGTGATAGGGGGCTCCTCCCATACAGGGAAGCAGCTTGTGCAGAGCCCAGGGCAGGTTGTAGCCACAGTGGTCCTCCACTGCCATCCAGCTGTTGAGGAAGTGGAACAGTGCTTCACTGAGTGGGTGGCAGCCCAGCATCCAGGCACTGCCCAAAGCAAGCAGTAGCAGCGACAGTAGCTCAGCTGAGCTAGCATCCTGGGCTGCCAACGCGAAAGGGACGTGGTGCTGGTGGTGCATTTGATGGACGGTCCGATACAACCATGGAACCCTGATAAAGAACACAAACATGTTTGGATCAGTAACTTTGTGGTCCATGGAGAAAATGCATTCAATAGGTCAGGTCTCAGTGCTTCATTTAAATAATAATTACATTTCAATAATCACAAAATTATCTACTAAATCATCACAATACCCAAGTGGAGGTACTGCTACACGTGTTTATATGTCTTTCTTGTACACATGAAAGGTGGGTATGGTGCTTTATTGTGTTTGAATCCGATTTTTTTTTTCTCTTTTGAGATTCTTCCATGTGTAATAATTTTAAGGAAACAAAAAAATGACACTCTCCTCAATGAGAGCAGTGTCATTAGCAAAACATAGAATAACACAATGGTTATGCTAATAATGGGCTCACTGTCAATAACTTTTCTATCTTTGATCATAAACTAAAAACTGTGACTCAAACCTATAGCTAAGACTCGCACATGATCTTGAAGTACCAAATTTAATTTGATTTAGTTTCTTGGCAAGAGAAGGACCTCTGGTTAAAAAAAAAAAAAAGTCACAGTCAGAGAAACTGGACTACACTGAAAAACAGGCTGATCTTCAACATCTTTAAACAAAGGTGCAGATGGAAGCAGCACAGCTGATATTTCTCTTTGTTTCAGAACCTTGTTTCCACTTAGGATCAGTTAAGCTCCACAAACTCTGACATTCATTGATTAATTACTGTAATACAAGAACAGTGGGCTCTTTCTAAATGAAAGGATGAAATAAGAAGTTTAATTTATCCAGCTGCATCAGCTCAGGACTCAATGACCCCTGACTTTTGGGAGTTTTAGTTACGTAGAGAGAAAACTATTATTATTATTATTGCTGAACTTGATGTTCATCCTTAATGCAGTGCAGCACTGACTACATTTTATTCCACAAATACCTGTTGAGTGGCTCATTATGGTTTCACTGACCAGGTACTAGATATTCGACTTCCAAATCATGCTGGTGAAGATTCCCAGTCATCCAGGTCATAGTCATTCCAAAAAAGTAAAAAAAAAAAAAAAACACTGGACATTGTTTTTCAAGACATTTTGCCATAACAAAAGCCTTGTTATGGCTTAGAAAAGGCTTTTGTTTGGGCCCCCTTTATGAGCATAGAACTCCATGCTACTCCAGACATTTTGAATTGAGAAAGCTTCCTGGATAAGGAGCGAAACGTCTTCAAACTTGGGAAAAAAAGTCCAGTGGATTGTTTTTTAACTTTTTACTCAGTTTATTTACATAGCACCAATTCACAACACATGCCATCTCAAGGCACTTTACAGTTCACCAGAATTTTACACTTTTACACATTGAACATGTGTAAAAGTGCACTTTGAGGCCCCCTGTGCTGCCAAGTAACACAGAAGATCCAGTCAGAGCCAGACATCGCTGCTGCTGGGAATGATGAAGACAAAGGTTATAGGAGAACAGAAACAAACTGATATTAAAAATCAGTTGCTGGATTTTGCGTAATGCGTAACAAGCCCTGCGTGCGTAAAGTGCCACTCCAGATGGAAATAATCTCTGACCCCTTGAGATTTGATGAAACCCAGCTTCAGTTAATGATCTAGAAATCACTCTGAGGTTTATGAGGCTCCAAGTCATCTTAGGTGATAGGTTTTATTCTGTCATTTAAAACTGTTCACTCTAAAAGAGAGGGTCCTCTCTCTTCTCTTTCTCATGTGCCTGCATCTTCTCTAGGTAATGATCACATCTGCCTCCCTGTTAAAAATTGTTTTCTACTTCATTGTGGATCTCTGCACTTACCACATTATCAATTATCATTTGCATCCCTCCCTCCTTTAAATGGAATTTGAGCTGAAACCTGAAATGTTCGAGACCAACATAGATAACAGGTGCCAGGTGGTGTTATTTAACTGAGCAATCCTGCACACATCAGCGCATCATTCATACCTGGTTGTGATGAGAAAACCTTGCAAAGCCAGGCTGATCAGAATCTCTATACAGCTTATCATACACCTAAAATAAAACTCGATCAGACTATGTTTGTCTATCATGTTGGTTTGTTGCTGCTCCTACAGAAGGAGCACTCTTTGAGGGGTATATATAGAATGTTGAGTGCACTGTATATTGGGGCCATAAATAAGTACATCATGAGAACAAGTTTGGGCTCGAATTAGTATGTTGTGGGAATGTTTTGCTCTGTACTTTTTAAACTATGATTAAGTTTTTCAAGTTGCATTTTTTTCAGATTCATATCTATTTCATAGCCTCTTAAAGCCTCTCTGTGTGCAAAACTGTAAATTCTAGCATGTAATTTGCTTTGTTATTTCATAAACATAAAACATAATCCTATTGACATCAATATATTGCAGCCTTTACCAATCACACTCACCAAAATGCTGCAGAATATACAATGTTTACATTTTTTTTTTCCATCAATCTGTTCATTGAATAATATCAAACGTTTTACATACATTTATTTAGTTACAGTTCAATTTAAAGTTCCAATAACTGGAAAGTTATCCAAATTCTTAGTTTAGATTAGAAAAATACTGCAAGGTTACATTGACCGGTCTCAAATTATTATACAGTAGCTAAGTTACTATTATGTTTTTGGAGAAGTAACTAGTAACGTTAGTATTAAGGTTCCTAACACCATAAATCAGCATCTGATCACTGTAGCCTGCCTGTAAGTCCAACAGGACCTTGGGCCAATTCTCTTTCAGCATTTAATGTTGGAAGACTGTCCACACAATGCTTCCCTTACAATGCTTAAACACATTAGATCTGGTAATGGTGCAGCAGCGTTTTATTTATTTTAAAAACATGCATCCATGTGTTTATCTGCTGATATGTTTACAATTTGCATAACTGCATTTTAAAGTAGACTCTTTAACAGAATAAACATATTTCTCACCTGTGCATAGAGTAGTGCCATATAAAGAAGAGCGTGTCAAACAGCAGGAAGCATGCCAGCACCTCCACAAACAGCTGCCAGCATGTAGGGGCCAGCTCCGGAAAGTTGGGGCTTCTCAGCAGCTGGAGGAGCGCCGCTGCTGGCAGCACCGCTGTGGTGTATTTGAAGAGGACCCTGCAGAAACACTGGAACCACCGCTGGAGGGACGGCGGGGGCCCGGAGCCTGCCGCGATCCTCCAGGAGCGGACGCGCTGACACACGCGCCCCAGCGCGTCCAGAAAGAAGAAAGGCGCACAGAGCGCCAGGTGAGTCAGGAAGGCGCAGGATGCGGCCAGGTAAGGAGAAAGCTGGATGTGACGCTGCCCTGCTCTCACGCTCTCCCACAGACCCTGCAGGATGGGCGCATGTGGATCCCCGAGCTCCTGGATGGGGTCAGTCATCCTTTTGTCTGTCACATTACATAACATCCCTTGCGCGCCTGGCTTTTCTTCTCTTTGAGAGTTTTTTCTTCGCCTTCCTCCGCTCACTGAACAGGCTTCTGCTGGAGGATCCTGAGTCACCCCACACTACAGTAGGGTAGGAGGGGCCCCGGGCCCACATGCTATAATTCAACACGTCTGTCTTATTGAGCAATGGCACCACCTCAGCTGGTGGCTGGAAAGGTAGGGGAATTCAGACCATGAATAAAGATTAGATCATTAGTTTTAGGCCATTACAGAGAATTCACTATTAGAATCTCGAATGTCACAAGTTTCAGGAAAATAAATAGACCTATTCTTCTAAAGGTGAGAAATGATTACACCATTTTGCATTTATGTGGTTGAATTTACTAGAAATAACTGCCTCCAACCCCTTTTAAAATGCCTCCTTGAGAAACTGGTGGAAAAGTAAATTAAATACAGATGTCATGTAATCCAGGTTTACATAATAAATGATGAATTGTGAAACTGCTCCTCAATGGGGGAGGCCAAAATGATATTTACATAGAATTATGGTGAGTAAATATAGGATCACTGCAGGATCTGCTGACTCATCATCACAACTACGTTTTCTCAAGATATTTAGTCCAAAGAAAACATTTGGCTACTTCCCAGAAATAATCTGTGTGGGTTTTTTTTATTTCTGAACTCCAAATTCAAAATAATTAGATGTCTCTTATATTTTTATATAAACATTTTTAAATCCTTAAATAGATTCAGTCACAGCTGGCAAAGATTCAAATGTGTCCAAAGCCACAGAGTCGGTTTCACCAGACGCCGGCACTTCTTCAGAACTTGATCCAAAACCAAAAAAAAAAACCCCACAGGGTTGAGCTGAAGTAAAGCAGAAAAGACTGATTACTCAACCACTGAAGTCTTAGACAGCTGAAAAAAGCAACCCACCAACTAAAACAACCACCGGCTAGATTTGTTTTCAGTGTAAGAATACATGAATAGAATTGTCGTGTAAAATTAGTTGCTCCCTTACAGATGTCTTTTGTTTTGTCTTAACATTTTCAGGGGATGAAATTTATTTATTTAAAAAAAAAGACAACCTGACTGAGAAAACCAAATATTTAACTAAATCTGTCTTTTGTGGTTTAGGACTTTTGGTTTTCCCTTTACAGAATAGTTTCATTCAACTACAAGATTTTTAGCATAAACCCGTTTACTGTCATTTCAGGCTTAAGCCATGCAAAAACCTTTTTTTCCATTTCGAAGGGTTTTGATTATCTTTCTACACAAAACACAAGGGGAAATAATATCTGAGATTTATAGCTAGAAAGCAGAATCCTTGCTTTAATGCTGTGCTGGTTTTATGCTGTACAGAATAAAGAGGAACGTGTCCCAAAAAGTCCCATTTTGTCCACCCAGTCCACATAATCAATTTCTAAAGGTCACAGATGGGATTTTTTTTTTTCTATTTTTTGCAAATGGGAAGTTTTTGTGTTTAGTCAGAAGTGGTTTCAGGTTTCAGTCTTAGCATTGAATCTTCATAACTGACTTTAACTGAAGAAAAGAGGCATGAGGTGCTTCTGATGCTTTTAGTTTCCTTTTGACCCCCAGGACCACACACAGCTGTGGCTGGTTGTCCACCAGCCACAACCTTATTGTCGGCTGAAGTCTGAAATCCTTCAAAGCGACATTGCAACGCAGGCACGTGCAGAGGGGGGGGCTAAGGGGGCTTGAGCACCTGCCCCTTTTGCTCCATGATCCCAATGTGCCCTTTTGGTCCCTTTTTTTTTTTTTTTTTTTTTTTATTTGACACATGTACTGAAATTATTATTATTATCTTTTTTTTGGCAAGAAAAACCATAGATATCCATAATAAAGGCTAGATGTCTCGTCCGCGCTGCTGGCCAATGGGGGTCGACGTCCGCACGTGGCGGCCATCTTGCCACAGGCAGCTCGCTCATTCGTAACATTGTGTTTTAAAGGCGCATGTACTTAAATAACCATAACTTCCTCAATTGTCTAACGATTCTCAAACTGTTTGGTTTGTTAAACAAAAGTCAGACATGTAGTTATGAAACTGCACACTTATGAATAATTATAACCATGGAATTTCATATGAAAAGAACATTGAATAGAACATACAGGTGCAATAAATATACACATGCACAAGGTATTTATGTTAAATCAATATATGCTATTAAAACTCAGTGTACTGAATGGCAACATGATATATAGATAGATATCTATACATGTATAAATATGTGTATATATATATATAAAAATATGTATATATATAAATATGTATATATATATATACATATTTATATATATATGTATATATATATAAATATGTATATATAAATATGTATATATATATATATAAATATGTATATATAAATATGTATATATATATATATATATATAAATAAACACTTTTATTTGGGTGTGATTAATTATTTCACAGTCCTAATTTATTTATATTTACATACATACTTTTATAATATGAATATTATTGTTATAATAAAATATGAAATACTGACAAAAAAGGCTTATTGTGTGGCAACCTCTTGGTGTAGCAGCATAATCCAGGTTTCAAATTAAAGGTAACACTTTGAAGTTTCATGTAGACTATTCGGATTAATATATTATATCAGGGGTAATTACACAAAAGTTCCTATTTTTAAACCATTATAAAAGTGACATTTATTTGCTATTAAAATTGGTACAATAGTCCCCTTCACAAGTATATATAGATGTAGCATGTTGAAATCCCCAACTACACTACTGTGATGGTATACACATGGAAGACAGAGATTTAAAAAATGACCCAAAAAACATAGCTTGGCTAATGCCCTTTGAAAAGGAAGGTTTTATTGAGCTTCTGTATAATGTACAAGAGAGCGTTGTCCACAAGGCCATCAAAGCGGACAGGAAGGTAGCTGTGGTCATGTACTAGTGCAGGAATGTCAGCAAACGGGGATGGAAGATCTTCTCCTCCTGCTTACACATTATATAACCTGCAGAAACAAAAACAAAAGTGACCAACAACAATTCACGGTGTATAAGATTGGTATATCAATATGTGATTAAATTTCAATGATACACATGCCCTTTGAAGATGAGCTGGAAAGTTAAAAATGTTTGGCACAACACCATCTTTAAGTTGTCCAAAGGAAACTAATACAAACTTATAAAAGCTTTGAGTCAACAACAATCTTGTAATACTATTATGTCATAGCAAAAGTCTGGCATCTTCCTTTTAATAAACCCAGCAAATTCCTGTAACATAATGTAAGATGTGTTGACAAACCAAATCGATTGGAAATCATGTTCAATTCTGCCTCTTCCACTGATGTAAAGTTGCTGGTTAACGTTAGCAGCTAGCTAAACTGTAACGTTAGCTGCTAACTTACTAGCGTTAGGTCTCACTTTGCAGCTTCTTGTTATTAGCCAGCTAACGTTAGGCTAATAATGAAAATATAACAACACTCAGATTATTGTTATTAGCCAACTAATAACTACAACCACATCCACAAATATTGTAATTTACACCAAAGATTAATTGTCATACAATTGTTATTGGTGTCAGTAAATCTGCAATTTTGACATGTTCAAGCATCAAGAATAATAGCCACGTTCATAATGTTTGTAAGAAACCAAACTGTTTGTAAATCCGTCAAGAATTCAGTGAGATAAGAGTATTTGTGTTCGTGCTGATCACTCACCTTACATTAGGTACCACAGAGCACAACAGAAAGCCTGCCTGAGGTAAGATGGCCGCCGGTGATGCCGTTTGAGACTCCGCCGTAAGACATCTAGCCTTTATTATGGATATCTATGAGAAAAACAATACAGTAAGCCCTCCGGTCACATTGTTACCTTTGACCTTTTGCCGGTGACGACGCACTAGCCTCTCGCACAGTCAGATAAGGCGGCTAACTGCGGAGCTAAAGGTAGCGAATATTCCACATTACACTGTGGCCGCTGCTCATTTGGCCCTAAGCAAGATCAACCATGATCGGACGGATGGCTATGTCTTCAGTCTGCACCGCCTCTCCAATGTCAACCTGAATAGACATGTAAGTGAAACCAAATGAGCCCCATGGATGATGCAGTATTGTTTGATCTAAAACACTGTTTACTCTGTGCTTTTAGTCTTTTACATTGAAAATTATGTTTTTTAATTCACAAAAAACTGTTCTGTAATGATTACAGAACAGTTTTTTTGTGAATTAAAAAACATAATTTTTGGTGAAAATACTGGAGTAGGCTTCCTACTTGTCAGACAACGGAAAACCTTGAACATGTATAATTTCTCTACTTTAGCAAAGAGTAGCGGTTTAAACGGCCTTTCTCGGAAGAATTACTGAGCGAGAGGAGAGAGCCAGGTGAGGAAAAGCTGTTCTTATCTATCGATTCAGTATTTTTTATCATACAGACATTAGGCTGTTGTTCTTGTGCTATGAGCTAGCTGCTAGCTAATGACTTTGCTAGCAAAGCAAGATAACTAAAAAGCTTCCCTGTGTCGTTAATGATAGTAGGACATTCTTCAGTATTACTTATGCAGTAGGGGCACATCGCCCGTCCATAATGGATATATGTCTGATTTTCTAATTTCCTTTGCTGCATGATGTACATTTCATTTATTCTAGCGTTAGGTAAATGTATCTTGAAGGAGAACTCATCCAGAACTACCATGATAGATATATGATAGATATAATGTATGAAGCTGGTGAAAACAAAACTGCGCAGCTTATGCAAGGAGGATCGGTTGTCAGACATTCTTTTGTTGGCAATCGAGAAGGATGTACCAATCATTCACAGTGAGGTTATTAACCATTGGCGTCGCCAGACCCCATTTACTGGGGCACGTACCCCCGTATAAATGAGCTGTGCCCCAGTATAAATCTCGTGAATATTTGCAACAGTGATACATTTTTTTAATGCATCAATTTAGATACTTCCAACGGAAGGAGACGTATATTTCTACTCAAATGCGCAGCAAGTGTGTTGTTAACTCCAAATTGAGGATGTATTAGCGCCCCCACGTCAGCGCATGTCACTGCATGAACTGCAGGTAAATTAACACGCTGCTCTCAACTGAGTTGGATGGGACACTGTGCGGCGCATTTTTTTTTTTTTTTTTTTAATTGACCGGTAAGAAACGTTGTTCTGGTAACGTTTCTTACCTGACATTTTTATTATTTTCCCAGTGAAACCACATGCTTTATAGGCTACTAACTGAAAATTACTGCATTGGTTTGTAGATGGTTATCAGGAAATTCCTCACACGAAGCAGAGACAGGGAAGCAATAAAACAAGATGAGAAAGAGGGAGGTAAGGTCCCGTGATGAATTAGTGATTTAAGCTAAGCAGTTACATTAGGGACGTTATAAGCAATATGATAGATATTTACATAATTATAAATTTACGTTTTTTTAATGTTTGCTGTAGAGAATGAGAATGAAGGTGCTGGAGTAGGAAAGGGAGGAGGAGGCGAGACTGACAGGCAAGAGACAGGGGAGAGACAGGACCATGAAGGTAATGAGGATGCAACAACCAGCGTCCACAAACAAGAAGGGGACATTAGTGACTTAGAGGGAAAGCATGATGGTCCTAAACAAGTGAAGTTGTCCCACTATCCCCAGCACAAATTTGGAGTAAAAAAAACTTTCATTCAATTCAAAATGGTTTGAAAGCTTTTTATGGTTGAAAAAGAAAGCCTTGTCATCAAGGATATGCAGTGTGTTTTCAACTTGCTTGATAACACCATGTTCCCCACACCAAGGGCGCAGATAGCGTGTACGTCAGGGGTGTTCTGACGTACACAGATTCGAATGACCCTCAATCCGTCCCCCCCACTTTTATAAAAAAAAAAAAAAAACATACGGCGAAACTCACAGAAAATCAAAAAAGCTTTGTCTAATTTACTGCTTTGCAACAACAACATAAAACAGTCAGATCATAGACGGGCAATCGTTTTGTTTAACTGCAGGCTGCCTGCGTCGTAGAGATTCTAATCTAAAAGTTATCTTGTCTCTGGCATTTACGTCTCGAGCCTGGTTTCCATGGTTACTCAGACAGACAGTAGTGGCGGGACAGTTCCCAATTCCGGAGTCCGGACATCAACATGAGGCCAGCCAAACCGAAAAAACAGAAAACAATTGCATCCTTTTTTCGAAAAGCACCAACTGTAAGTAAACTGTTCATTGCGGTATCATATCACCTTGCATTTTTTTGGTTGTCTGTTCGATGTCGCCGTGGAAAAAAGAGTAGAGACGGTCAGTGAGAATAGCGTGAAGAGAGGTGCCAATGTCATAAGGCGGGAGCCAGGGGGAATCGACTGGCATTTATTTATTTAAGTCGACTGTTCCGACCTTTTCTGGAGTTGTTGGGGGTCTTTCAGAAATGTGTAGGCTACAGTAGGCTACTTGAATCCGTATTTATGCCAAGCCAAATGGTTTAGGTTGTTACAGGTTGAATCATGAGAAAAACGAACTTCAAAGCTAGACAAATTCCACTACACAGGGCGGATTTAGGAAATTTGGGGCCTTAGGCAAAGACAGGCATGGGGCCCCCTGAATTGAGGAGACAACATATAGAACAGACCCTATGAAGGACCAACTCTGCCATATTTAAAAATAAATACAGAAATAAATAAATGCTCAATAAATGTATAAGCATACAATTAATTGCCAACAAAAAAGTGAGACATAAATGTATACAACTCTTAATTAGCTTCTTTATTTATTTGCCTTTGTAATATTTACCTTATTTATTTTTCTGTCCTTTATAATCTTCAACTTTATTTTTTAATTACTTATATTTTTAAGTATTGATTTATGTGCATGTTATAATATTTTTGTCTGTTTTATTCTTCCTCTGTATTTTTTTACCTTAGTTATTTCTTCGCCGCTGTTTATTTCTCTCTGCCCTTTTTACATTTCTCTATGCATTTATGCCTCATTATGCAAATGAGGAGGGGGTGTGTCCTAGAGAGTCAACTTGGCAACCAGCCAAGTTGACTTGGCAACTTGGCAACCAGCGGAGCTCCGAAGCTGCCGTCAGCTTTGGAGCTCCGCTGGTTGCCACGGTCCTCTCAAGTTCGTCACATTTTCTTTTAACTGTCCCCCACAGTTTCAAAAACCTATCTGCGCCCCTGCCCCACACTAACGCAGGTCATCCAGATCTCCCTCACAATCCCAGTCAACAGCTGGAGTTGTGAAAGGTCATTCAGTGTGTTGAGAAGGATCCACACTTGGCTGAGGTGCACAATGGGACAAGACAGGCTCCATCATCTTGCTATTTTATCAGTTGAAAAGGAAGAACTTTCTAAGCTGAGTCACAGTCTAGTGATTGACCGCTTTGCAAAAGTGAAAAATAGGAGGTACACTTTAATGCTCAATAAATAAGAGAAAAACTTAGTTCGGGTTGAGTTAAACTTTACCCTGAAATAAAACTCAGAAACCTAGGAATTAATGATTACTTCAGAATGTGTATAAGGAAATCAAAGTTGTTGATGTCTTATTTTTTATAGCTGCAATGTTGAAAATGTTCATGTTTGTTAAAACAAATATGCTCTTACACTCATTAATATCTCAACTGGTAATTTTGGTAGGAAAATATCAGTGTGCTTGTCTGTATTTGTGTATGGCAGGAGGGGCATATGCGGTAGGGGGCCAGTGCCCCAGTAAAGCTTTGTGCCTAGCAACGCCCCTGTTATTAACATTTTTAAAGACATGGCTAACAGAAAACTGCTGCTGTGAACAAAAGAGAACAAAAATAATGTAATGAAAATGTATATAGGTACTTACAAAATACACTAAGACACAAACAGAGTAGGCTTTTCTCATGGTGACATGCATTAATAAAATGTTTGCTTTTGTTCTTTTTTTTCCTGCAGTTCCACGTTAAAGTTTGATGCAGCAGCTCTGCTTTTCTGAATGGACCGTCTCCATCTCCACTGTCAGTACAGCAAACCAGGCAGACATTCTTTTTTATAGATTACAGTACACTAAAAGGTTGCATTGTGCCCTTGTATGCATTTTTAACAGTTTAATTCTGTAAAGACAAAATATGTCTGGTGGTCCAGCTCTGATTTACATATTTGGCTAAATTGCAGGTTTGAATATTGTAATACTTTCCTATAACAAAATAGACCTGCAGAAAGAAATTACTAATAAAATATTTTACATATGCATAGTTCTATGTTCTATGTAGAGATTTCCCCTTAGCTTTGATTGTATGTCTCACAATTTTGTAATTTATCATTGTTCATTAAACTCTGAAAGCTATGTGACTTTGTTAATATTCTGTCCTAAAATGCGATAAGATGTGCCCTTTTTTTTTTTTGAGCACCTACCCCTTTAGTGGTCTCTGCACGGCCCTGTTGCAACGCAACTCTTCTGATCTAATTTAATCAAATTCATGTAGCCAGACAGTTTGCATTTAAAGTATTCCCTGATTTTTAAACCTCAGGTTATTTTTGCTGACATGTTTTATATATTCATATTATATATTGAGAACCTTCATATTTTATAAAGCTAAACATTTTAAATTAAAGTCTTACAGCAGCTGCTAGCTTCTCTGTTTTTTATTGTGTTTAAAAACAAACACACATGCTTATACTAACAGTAAAAAAAATCCTAAATATATATTACTGTACTTAACAGGAGCTTTAACAAAGCAATTTACTCGCTGATTAAAACAGCAGATAATCAGAGAACAAGATTTTGATTGTACAGCCATTGTTGAAAGCAGTGCAAAAACAACGTTCTGCTGAGTCAGTGTTTGTTTCAGTGCATCAAAAATGCTGGAGTAAAAATTAGAGTATTTCCCATTGCTTTAAATGCCGCTAAGAATCTCAGCTCTGGATATATAGTTGTACTTTATAAAAAAAAAAAAACACAAACTTAATTTGGTCAATAACCTAATCTCCAAAGGAACTAATGCACAGAGCAAAACACAAAAAATAAGAAAAACATAAGACATCACAGCCAACTTTGCCTTTTGCTTCTTTTCAAGCATTAATTCTGTCCACAGGGAGTTCAGTCTGTTTCTAAATTTGTTTGCATTTCCTTCTTCTTTAGGCCAATAATGAAGCCAGAGATTTATAATCAGAGATTAACGGCACACTCTCAGAGGTACATTCATCACATGGTTGAAAAACAAAAGCAGATTTTTTTTAAAACCCCAAACTAAAGTAAAAGGCTGCTTTTTAGGCCAAGGAACACCCCCCCGAAAAAAGCCACCAACATTCAACAGGAAAAGTGCAGCAGACTTAGTGAAAATAATGACCCTGCAGTTTGACACATCCACTGACATGAGTAGCTGAAAAAGCCGATCCTACAAAATGCTGTGATTTTTAAATGAGGCAGTGAGGACCTATCCCCCGGACATTCATCAAGCTTGAGCTGTCTGCAGCTGTGGCCAAGGCCGGTATTTGTCAAGCAGGTCAGGAGAAAATAAAATCTGATTTACCATCCTCAGGGGTCCAGATGGGGCCTTGCTTTGGCTCACAAAACCCCGTTTTCTAATTTTCACATGGTTACCAGGCTACCTCCCTGAGCAACAGGGAGGCTCTAGGCTGTTTTTAGGGATAAAAAAGATTTCTCTTTGATTCCGGGTTTCTGAACAGATTAATACCGTACTAAACTTGTCACTCCTCATTTCACCATTTTATTATATTGCAGTTAATGGGTTTGGAGCCCAAATTTTCACCATGTGAAGAATAGTTCATTGTCAACATTTCAGGTATCACCTAAGATAAGCCTAAGCCCAGTTACATTTGCTTGACCACCATAAACCTTGAAGCAGTAACACCATCAACTCCTTCCAAAAATGACATAGATTTCATAAAATGCTCTTTAAAACAAACACAGGGTTCAGCAAGACTTTTTCCTCGGAACTGATTATTGAAAAAATCCTTTTCTGGCCAACTTTTTCTTTTTTTTTTTATCAGGATCACATGTACTTGGGGTTTGGAGTTCTCTCGGTTTCACTTTAAAGCCTTGTGTCGGGTTAGACTACATCTGGATCAATTAAAAGTTATGGGACATTTAGACACACGGTGACATTTTACAGATTAGGACTAATTCTAGTTGGTTTCTGGGCAAAAACGAGTCAATTATCAGCCCTAAAAAGTAAACTGTGTGGTATTTCTGGGCATTTTATGAGATTAATGTGGCATACCGAGATACATGTTGAGATATGGGCAACAAAAAACAAGCTATTCAATGTTTTAATAGGAAGTCACATGAAGGAAATGAATAGGCTTCCCAACCCTGCCCTTTTCTGGCTGAGTCACACTTAAAGAATCGGCTTGTTTTACTAACAGACTGAATAACTAGACCTGAAAAACAAGACTAAATAGGAAGCTGCTAAAACAGAGAATGACCAATAGTTATTCATTGATTATATAAGTGCATTAGATCTGGGTAAAATCCTCAGAAGTTCAGGAGCCAGAACAAATCTTTAAAGTCATGTTTTTAATTAAATTACCTTAAACTGATTAATGTTTTTAACCTATTTTCTTTGTTAATATTTAAAGTTGAATCAGAACAGAGTAGAAAGAACCTTCTAGGACTTTTCCTTAGGGCTGAGCTTTTCATTTTATCCCTCCAGTAGGATTTCCTGCTTAGAATATGAAATGCCTGAGAAATACTGGCCCTGGGCAGCGGATTATTTGTTAGACAGTGGGCTCCTGCCGCCTGCTAAGACTCCACCTGCCTGGGCGGTCCTGAGGGCCCAACTACTTTCTTCATTAATCCAGATCTATAAGCTGATCGCTAAAAACATCCAGGGCTGCAGAGGCCTTGATGGAGCTCCCTGCGGTGCCAGAGTCCACAAACATCTGAGGTATGTCGTTTCCAAAGTAGATCTTGCTGTTGGCTGCGATGGCTTTGTACTTCATCAGCTGCAGGTACTCCGGAGTTAACTTCAACTGAAAGAGAAGCAACGGGTTAAAAAAAAGGAAGATGAGTCTAGATGCTCAGTTCCTGCTCTGCCCTCATCCAGATGAAAAAAGGCTCGTTCAAGGTAACATACCCGTGTTTGGAGAATGGAGAACTTTTATTAGAGAGCTGCATAATTTAGTTGTTTTCTGTATGAGAGCATACAGAAACCACAATCTAAAAAATAAGTATACATTTGTTAAATTGAGTGTATTTACCCTTAATTTGAGTAGGTAAAAATATAATTTGCCAAGAGAATGAGTATTTTTACTCTTAAAATAAGATAATTAGATAATATGCACTTGAAATAAGACAATGCAATTGTTTTTTTTCTTATTTCAAATGTAAATCATCTTTCTCCGATGGAAAGTGTCTCATTTTACTCCTAAATCTAAAAAAAAAGCACTTATTTTAAGAAAAAAATGACTTATTTAGATTTCCATAATTTTGCAGTGCAACTTTATCATCACTGATGAGAACAGAGCTGATTGGATACGGTCAGCTTTTAGACGAAAAGGGTTGGTGACATGTGTTGATAACCTTCTGGGAGTAGGAATGAGGTAGGTGGGTGATAATCGTACGGGTTTCAAGATGTGCCAAGAAAAAGTTCCCCACAGATCTGAACTGTTGATACATCGGACGGACCCGTGCTCTCTTCATATTTAAACAATATTCTCACTTTTATCCACATCTCAAATTTCACAGATCTGCAATTTGGGTAATTGTATCGTAGCACAGTCTGATCCTTGAATAATAAAGTCAAATCTGAGCTTTAGACATAATTCAGACATAATCTCATGCTCTGTCAGCTGCTGCATCCACACCACCACGCTCTATCCGCTTCATCTGCTGTCATTTTAAACTTCCCCACACCATCTAACATAATGCATGCCTAGAGGCATCAGGAAAAGAAAGAACATCCTCTTGTAAAGTTTTAGATGTCTGGAAATAATAAAAGTGATGTCACAGTTTATTAAACTGATTCATTAAATCCAGATGAAACCAAGATGCTGTGTATGAAATTCAACAGAAAGGGAAATTCAATCATATAATTTGTAGAATAACTTTTAGCAACAACTTGTGACTTCTGTTTGAATGAATTTCACTCTTTTTCACAGTATTGTGGAGAATTTTAGCCAGTCTGTTTTTGTTTTTTCTATGAATATGCCATTAAATTTGTTCAAAGGCTATTTTCCACTGCAACTTAAATCTTATTTTTTTTCTGGAATCAGATTTTCTTTGTTTGGACGTTCCCATTACCTTTAAAGTGTTGCCTACAGTACAGACCAAAAGTTTGGACACACCTTCTCATTTAAAGAGTTTTCTTTATTTTCATCACTATGAAAATTGTAGATTCACAAAGAATGGCATGAAAACTATGAATGAACACATGTGGAATTATATACTTAAAAATACGTGTGAAAGAACTGAAAAAATGTCTTATATTCTAGGTTCTTCAAAGGAGCCACTTGTTGCTTTGATTACTGCTTCACACATTCTTGGCACTTGATCAGCTTCAAGAGGTAGTCACCTGAAATGGTTTTCATTCACAGGTGTCCCCTGTCGGGTTTAATAAGTGGAATTTTGCCCTATAAATGGGGTTGGGGGCATAAGTTGTGTTATGCAGAAGTCAGGTGGATACACAGCTGATAGTCCTACTGAGTAGTAGGGTTGTCAAAAGTATCAATACTCAAAAAAGTGTTGATACTGAAATGTTGTATCCGGATACAATACTCATTTTTAAAAGTATAGATACAGTGCTTCCACCAGTGGCACCTAAACAGTCATTCATCTAAAGTGCAGAATAGAGGAAAATGCACTTTCTGAACACTGTGTGATTGAATAATTCTGTGCACTTTTTTGTTTCAGACTTTTTTTGTAACAGGTGCAGCTGCTGAGAATTATTTTTGTTTCTTACCAGTTTGGCTAGTGTCATGCTATGTTTGCAAAGCATAGCCAAGGAAGGAACACTTAATTTAAATTTTGTAAGTTTTTTATCAAGCTTGCTTAATACTGTGCACAGCAAGCAACCTCAAAACATTGCTCTTATTGTTTATTGTATTTATTTATTGTATTTTAATTATTAATCTAAATTTTTCTGTTGAAATTTGGAATTTTTATCCTTGTGGTATCGAAAATGGTATCGAGTATTGAATATTTTCTTTAATATCGGTATCGAGTTGAAAAGTTTAGTATCTTGACAACCCTACTGAGTAGACTGTTAGAATTTGTATTATGTCAAGAAAAAAGCATCCAAGTAAAGAAAAACGAGTGACAATCATTACTTTAAGAAATGGTGGCCAGTCAGTCCGAAAAATTAGTAAAACTTTGAAAGTCTTTTTGCTGTCGCAAAAACCATCAAGTGCTACAAAGAAACTGGCTCACATTAAGACCGCCCCAGGAAAGGAAGACCAAGAGTCACCTCTGCTGTGGAGGATAAGTTCATCTGAGTCATCAGCCTCAGAAATGGCAGGTTAAACAGCAGCTCAGATTAGAGAGCAGGTCAATGCCACACAGAGTTTCTAGCAGCAGAGACATCTCTAGAAAAAACTGTGAAGAGGAGACTGTGTGAATCAGGCCTTCACGGTAAAATAGCTCCTAGGAAACCACTGCTAAGGACAGGCAATAAGCAGAAGAGACTTGCTTTGGTTAAAGAACACAAGAGGTGGACATTAGACCAGTGGACCAGCTTTGCTCTGATGAGTCCAAATTTGAGATCTTTGGTTCCAACCATTGTGTCTTTGTGCGACGCAGCAAAGGTGAACGGATGGACCCTACATGCCTGCTTCCCACCGTGAAGCAAGGAGGAGAAGGTGTGATGGTGTGGGGGTGCTTTGCTGGTGACACTTTTGGGGATTTATTCAAAATTGAAAGCATACTGAACCAGCATGGCTACCACAGCATCTTGCAGCGGCATGCTATTCCATCCGGTTTGTGTTTAGTTCGAACATCATTTATTTTTCAACAGGACAATGACCCCAAACCCAACCTCCCGGCCGTGTAAGGGCTATTTGTCCAAGAAGGAGAGTGATAAGGTGCCGCGCCAGATGTTTTTTGTTCATCTTTAGATCAGGTTTTGTAGTGCTAATATCCCAGCTTCCATCTGTCTTGCAATCTTTTTCTGCTGACATCTGTCATAATGTTCTGATGTATTTGATGGGGACAAACATTATATGAACATGGCTCAAATATAAAATGAAAAAAATCTACCTAACCAGCCTTTCTTGACGCCCACCCTAAAAAAAATTAATAAAATCTGATTTGGGCCACATGTGCCTGCAGTGGGAACACAGCCTTAGAGCTTCACAGCCTTATTTGCCTCAGACTGACTTCTGGTCCCTGATTTGGAGCTGCTGGACCTTTTTTTCAAGTTAGAGATTTAGTGATGAATTTGGGATAATTATTCCTCTGAAATTTACAGTTGTCTTTTGCATCTCTGCACCTTTCTTTATCTCTACTTCTGCCTCTTTGAACCCCATTCAGCCTCGGAAGATGGCCGCTCACACTGAGCCTGGTTCTGCTGGAGGTTGGTTTCTGTTAAAAGGGAGTTTTTCCTCTCCACTGTCGCTACAAGCATGCTTAGTGTGAGGGATTGCCTTAGAGTCGATGCAATCAACTGGTTTTCCTTAGATAGAAAACTTTGAATCAATTTGAATGTATGATCTGGTCAAATTGTAAAGTGCCTTTAGATGACTTGTGTTGTGAATTGGCGCTATATAAATAAACTGAACTTTGAATTTAGGGGGATTTTGCCACTAAAAGAGAAAAAGAGTTTTCAGTGTTTTTAGTATTTAATGGCACCAAATCATTGGGAAGTTCTCTGCGTGCATCAGACCAAAGAACAGTCCTGCGCCGTTGGGCTAGTAGTGCACTGCTGATGATTTTCCTCCTCATTATCACAGGAGCAGCATGGATAAATATTAGGAATTCCTTTTTGCTTAAATGCTCTTAGATAAATAATGACAGCAGCAAATCTGCTGCGAAGTTTTGTACACCTGATTTTTAGATTTAAATTATTTTACAATCCTGGTAAAGATATTATGTCCGAATGCATCAAAACCTAAAATCAAGAGAATTTAAATTCCTTTTCCCATGACTACAGTTGAACAAATCCGTTGCCATAACAGTAGAAGCAGGAATTTAGTTTCGAATAAAATGGCAGATTTACAGTAAGGCTCAGTGTCAGTGACTGAATGAAAAGCGCAGTGGGACGGTTGTGTCGTCTGTTTACCTTGTTGGCCTCCGCAGCTCTCAGTGCTGTGTAGAACTCTGCATCTGCCTTGGCTTTCTGCCTGGCCAGGAAAGCGCCATCTGTCCATGAAACACAGACATTATTTCTATGTGTGGCTCATTTTACATACAGTGCAAATCTGATCAGGTTTGAGTTTTTTTCTTCTGTACTCACAAACTATACATCAAGACAACATGCATAACAACAGTAACCATGTCTGACCTGAAGCTACTGGACGTAGCATCTTTACCCATTTAAAAAAATAAAAAATGTTGAGATCCTTTAATCCACAGTCTTCATACATACCTTCAATTTCAGAAATCTTTTTTTCAGTTTCCTTCTCCATGACTTTCTGCCCAAACTTGATTTCTGAGACTTGCGCCACTTTCTCAGCCTCTGCAAAACAAAGCAAGCATTATTCCCAATGGACCTGCAATGTGGTAAAGGGCGCTGCCATAAAGATGACACAGATTTGTTCCCCACCAATGACGGCTTTAATCCTCTCCGTTTCTGCCTCTTTTTCCACAACTTTCTGCGTCTGCTGGGAGATCAGCAGTTTTGTCTTCTCACTCTCCCTAAAAAACACACATTATCATGTTACAGCCTGACTCTCACATTAGTCAGTAAACAACAAAGGGGCTTTCTTCAAATTAATCCACAGATTTAGGCAAAAGAAGGAATAATGAGACATGCAATGAGCAGCTGTAAATGATTTCACAACAACTTGGTCTCAAATGTTGGGAACAAATTGTTTCTAAATAAGACATCTCTCATTTTAAATTTTAAGTTTAGACTTTAATTCTACAACTTAGTGGAGAAAGAGACCCAAATGTAAGGTCTGCACATTATATCTGGGGTTCTACTGTATCTTCAACCACAGGGAAATAAGTCATATCACTAAACCAAGCATGTTTCTTTTAAGCAAAGTGTGTAATACAATAATTGGATGCATAATGCAAAAGTGCTGCTGCTGTTATCTTAAGAAACAGCGATTTCTAGGAAAGCTGAGATAAGAGATATTTCCACCAACCTAGAAATTTTTTGTTCAGTTCAAACATCTGAATAATTAGAACTGGATCCAGCTTTACATGCCAAGGTCCAAAACTATTTGGCACTGGATGAAAGTAATTTATAATAGCCCTCGTTTTCATGACAAATCCTTCCTGCAGTGAATGATGTGCTGCAAAAAGAGAAGGCTTGTAGCAGCCATAAAAGAAACCCAATGCTTCAATAAATCATTCCTTTAAAGAGACTTATTTATCAAATCCTCTAATTCTGGTTCTAGAACAGGTTAACAGATAATATTTGTCTGAATGAGACCTTGATCAGTTGTCATAAAAGTGGTGAAGGAGACAGCATCAGAACTAACTATAGAACCTGAACTGTGTTTGGACAGTTTTGATCCAGTTTGGCTTCCTGAGTTATCAAATTATTATCTTCATCTAAGCCTTCAACCTGTATATTAGATCCATTCCCAACCAAGTTATTTCAGGAGAGAATACTTCCTTAAATTATTTCCACCTCCATTTTAGATATGATTCATCTTAATCTTTGATCAAAATAAAGGAAATACACCACCAGCTTAAAGTAACTGTAATTAAACCTTTACTTAAGAAACCTTTTCTTAATTCAAATAACTTGATCAATCATGGACCCATATATAATCTTCCTTTCTTATCTAACATTCTTGATAAAATCATAGCTAATCAAATGTGTGAGTGCTAAGTCCGACGTGTGGTTTTTGGACGTGTAGTGTGAGCAGGTAGATCACATCTGAAGGTCCGGCTCCACAGTATTAGTACATACATTGTGAGCTGTGAACTTTTAAACCCTGCGATTTCATCATACAGTTTGAGCCAAGTACAACGATTTAAATTATTTTAGTGTATGCCCAGCCTTAGATCTTAGTGATGCATTTGATACAGTTGATCATAATATTCTTTTAGAAAGACTTGAATATTTTGTAGGAATTAAAGGAACAGCACTAGGCTTCTCTCTGATAGAAATTTTCCTCCTGCTCCAGGGTTACCTGTGGAGTACCACAGGGATCAGTGCTAGGGCCAATTCTATTTACTATATATATGCTGCCAATTGGTAGGATTATTAGACAGCATGGGCTTAACTTTCACTGTTATGCTGATGATACTCAGCTATATCTGTCTATAAATCCAGATGAAGCTAATCCATTACATAGATTACAGGCATGTCTTGAAGACATAAGAACCTGGATGACTTAACTTTCTGCTCCTGAATGCAGAAGTCTTTGAAAAGGAAGCTAATTAGTAAGTCACTTCATGCGGATGTGATTAAATTGATCTCAGATAATAGAGTATAAAAACATTGTTATGTTTTTATCATTTTTAATCACTTTAATAAATTAGAAATCTCCTGTCCAGCGGTGATACTGAGAAACTAGTCCATGCATTTGTTGCTTCAAGGCTGGAATATTGTAATTCTTTACTATCAGGAAGTCCACAAACTGTAGTTAAAAGACTTCAGTTGATCCAAATGCCACAGCCAGAGTTCTGATTAAAATTTAAGAGAGATTCTATTCCTCCCATTTTAGCTTCCCTTCACTGGCTCCCTGTTTAACCCATAATAAAATATCAAATCCTCCTTCTCACATATAAAGCCTTAAATGGCCAAGCTCCATCTTATATCAGAGATCTGATTGTTCCTTATGTTCCTAACAGAGCACTTCGCTCTCAATCTGCAGATTTACTAGCAGCTCCAAGAATTTCTGAAAGTCGAATAGAAAGCAGATCTTTTAGTTATCAGGCTCCTCTCCTACGAAACTATCTACAAATTTTAGTTCTTGAGACAGACATCCTGTCTAATTTTAAGGCTAGACTTAAAATGTTCCTTTTTTATAAAGCTTATAGTTTAGACTGGTTCGGGTTATCCTGAGCTATCTCTATAGTTATGCTGCTATAGGTTTAGACTGCTGGAGGACATAGGGACCCCTTTTCATCATTCTGCTTCATTCTATTTCTGTTTCTCCAATTCTGCAAATATTTGTTAGTTCAACCCCTAACTTCCTGATCCACCTGCTTTTCCATCTGGCCTGGTTCTGATAGGCTGAAGCACTGTCCTAGAAGAAGGCTTCAACTGAACCACTGCCTTGGCTGAATTTTTTTTTATTTTCTCCAACATCCACAATGGCATACAATATTCTACTGTTGCCACATGCAACTAAATATCAACCAAGTTTTAAAAATGCGTTTGTCTAATATTCAAGGATTGCTTTTCTTGAAGTTCACAAAAGGTGATGCAAATTTTCTGTAATTTCTACCAAAGAATCCCTAAGTTATATCTAGCACAAATATTTCACAATCTTACTTTTTTGGGGATAAAGACCAAGAAAAAAAGGCACATAGACCTTCTTTGATTATTTCTCGCTTACAGTTCCACACTTTCTATCTTTTCAAATACATTGTAAATTTTTACTTGTATTGTAATAGAAATATTTTCCACATTTCCTTTTAATATATTTACATTTTAGGTTATAGATCTTGTATTTAAATAAAGAGTTTTGGAGGTTATCTGTGTAATTCGTATAATCAAGCTCCTATGAGTTATGAGTGATGACGTTAGTGGTGAAACTATTGTTAGCATAGTTTTTCTTAATCAAGAATATACCTGCTAATCTTTTTCATTCAAATGTTTCGTTTGAAAAAAGACTCTGCAGGTCTTGCATCAGCCTGAGTACAGCTAAAAAAATTTAAGTTTCATTGCCATGATTCTAATAAAAGGCTTTTCAATCCACTAAAGGGTGTGAAACAACAGATACGGCATTTTACTGTTAATTATTTCAAAAAATGGATACAAAATCTTGGAATTACACAAAATAATCTGAAGCTGAAGAATGCATTTTAAAATGTAATTAATCATCAAATATTAGTCATCCCTGAAAATCAATTTAATTGGGCAATTTTGTTTTCTTAAGAAATCAAAATGAGGAAGTGTAATTTAGCTATTATAAATAGCTTATGTATGGGGCTGTATCTGAACAAATGTAATCTTTTAAAATGAATGTAGGGAGTGAGAAAACAATGAGCCAGTAATATTTTTGTCACAGTATTGGTAAGAATTTAAAATTTCTTTATATATACGGACATATTTATTAACTGATATTAAGATGTTTATCAAAAGCACTCGAGTCCAAGATAGATCAAAGGTTTAGTTGGAAGATATCAAAACCTTTGATTTAAATAAGAATCACATGTGGTTTCCAGATGCAGTACTGACAGACCCTAAAATGTTTAGTTTGTTTACTTGATTTGTACGCAAGTTATGATTATGTCCTAAGATGTAATCCAGTTATACATCATTTTTTTATAAAATAAAATCTTAAGTCCGAGCTGCATTTACAAAACGTGGGCCTTACTGGAAGAGCATCATTTACGAGAAGTCTGTGTTTTTCCATAAAAAGATCACATGCTTTTGGTCCCTCTGCATGCTTACAAACTGACACAAAACTGCTGCCTCTGCATCCATAGTTCACAGCAGCAGGAGGTAGGTAAAAATAACCTTTATTTATTTATCTATTTAAGGAAAACCTAAACTCAGTTACCATTTTTAAGTTGAGCAAGAGAAAGTAAACCTACATGAGTTCATAGTTCCTGCGTATGCTCTCAGGAATGTTTGGTTTAGTGACACGGACAGCCTGTGAAGAAAAGACAGAGAGACAAAACATTAAGCTTTGTGGAGAGAATAAATAAGCAGGGCATGCATGAAAAAATGCTTAACTAGTAGATTAGCTTAAAAATGCATGAGATAAAAGAAAAGGGGCTTTAAAACAAACCCCAGGACACTGTTTACACTGTAAAAATTTAATTTACTGGACCATTAACCCCCAGAGAGCGTTTTAGCAATTTAATTTATGCATGAAAAAAGGGAGAGAAAAAAAACCCCACACATCTGCTGAGGTTCAGACCTGTATTAAATTAATGGCACAATGTAAACATCTCTGTAGGTATATGATCAGTAGGACGGGCTTAAAGGTTTAAAGTTTCACAATATTTAATTGTCTTGGAGACACAATGACTTCAGTCATAATGATAAGGACCCATGAGGGACATAGAGACTGAAAGTCTGGAACCTATAAAATCTTAGTAGAGAAAAAAGATTGGGTTTGTTCCCACAACAACAACTTGGAACCGTTCTCAATGTGCTAGTTGTTCACTGGTTTCCTTTGCTGCCTCATTATCCCTTAGAAGGCTTGGCTTAAGCGGGGACATGACTCTGTATAACCTAACAAAGCAGTAAACTGGTGATGTGCAGAATTTTTCCCGTAAACTCCCTCCTCTGATGGAGGAAATCAACCCTTTTAGAACCAATTATTTGCTTTCTATGTCTAGGAGAAAACTAGGGTGGGGATTCAGACATAGGACAAATTATCAACACAAAAGAGGAGAAAAAATTTTCTAAGCAGCTACCTCTCTCTCTCTCAGAGTGTGTGTATACAGGTAAAAGCCAGTAAATTAGAATATTTTGAAAAACTTGATTTATTTCAGTAATTGCATTTAAAAGGTGTAACTTGTACATTATATTTATTCATTGCACACAGACTGATGCATTCAAATGTTTATTTCATTTAATTTTGATTATTTGAAGTGGCAACAAATGAAAATCCAAAGTTCTGTGTGTCACAAAATTAGAATATTACTTAAGGCTAATACAAAAAAGGGATTTTTTTAGTAATGTTGGCCAACTGAAAAGTATGAAAATGAAAAATATGAGCATGTACAATACTCAATACTTGGTTGGAGCTCCTTTTGCCTCAATTACTGCATTAATGCGGTGTGGCATGGAGTCGATGAGTTTCTGGCACTGCTCAGGTGTTATGAGAGCCCAGGTTGCTCTGATAGTGGCCTTCAACTCTTCTGCGTTTTTGGGTCTGGCATTCTGCATCTTCCTTTTCACAATACCCCACAGATTTTCTATGGGGCTAAGGTCAGGGGAGTTGGCTGGTCAATTTACAACAGAAATACCATGGTCCGTAAATCAGGCATGGGTAGATTTTGCACTGTGTGCAGGCGCCAAGTCCTGTTGGAGCCTGAAATCTCCATCTCCATAGAGCAGGTCAGCAGCAGGAAGCATGAAGTGCTCTAAAACTTGCTGGTAGACGGCTGCGTTGACCCTGGATCTCAGGAAACTGAGTGGACCGACACCAGCAGATGACATGGCACCCCAAGCCATCACTGATGGTGGAAACTTTACACTAGACTTCAGGCAACGTGGATCCTGTGCCTCTCCTGTCTTCCTCCAGACTCTGGGACCTCGATTTCCAAAGGAAATGCAAAATTTGCTTTCGTCAGAAAACATGAATTTGGACCACTCAGCAGCAGTCCAGCTCTTTTTTTCCTTAGCCCAGGTGAGACGCTTTTTGCGCTGTTTCTTGGTCAACAGTGGCTTGACACGAGGTATGCAGCAGTTGAAACCCATGTCTTTCAAGCGTTTTTGGTGGTGGATCTTGAAGCACTGACTCCAGCAGCTGTCCACTCCTTGTGAATCTCCCCCACATTTTTGAAGGGGTTTTTTTTCACAATCTTGACTAGGGCGCGGTGATCCCTATTGCTTGTACACTTTTTCTGACCACAGTTTTTCCTTCCCTTTGCCTCTCTATTAATGTGTTTGGACACAGAGCTCTGAGAACAGCCAGCCTCTTCAGCAATAAGCTTTTGTGTCTTTCCCTCCTTGTGCAATGTGTCGATGGTCGCCTTTTGGACAGCTGTCAAATCTGAAGTCTTCCCCATGTTTGTGTAGGCTTCAGAACTGGACTGAGAGACCATTTAAAGCCATTTGCAGATGTTTTGAGTTAATCAGCTGATTAGTTTGTGGCACCAGGTGTCTTCAAAATTTAACCCTTACACAATATTCTAATTTTGTGACACACAGAATTTTGGATTTTCATTTGTTGCCACTTCAAATCATCAAAATTAAATGAAATAAACATTTGAATGCATCAGTCTGTGTGCAATGAATAAATATAATGTACAAGTTACACCTTTTGAATGCAATTATTGAAATAAATTGAGTTTTTCAAAATATTCTAAATTACTGGCTTTTACCTGTATGCCACTGATGTCTTATTTATTAACTGGATTGATGATTGGCCAAAAAAAGTGAAGCCAACGGCCACCATCTTGGTACTCCCCACATGCACAGAGACAGGCAGTAAAAATGGCTACATGTGTAGCATTTGGCTGCAAAAACAAGCTGTTTGCCGGCTGTGGGAAAACCTTCCATAGCTAATTTCACAGTCAGTGGATGAACTAACCAAGAAAATCCATATGTACACCAATGTATCCTGTAGTATTATATGTAGCGTAACATTACTCAGGCTATCTCGGACTGAATCAAAGTTAGTGAATAAAGTAGCCGTTGACATTGTTTCCAACGCAAGAAAATAGATGTAGAGTAAATAAAAAGTAATCCACTGTGAAATGTCAATGTAATAATTATTATATATTATTGCATGCACTTAATGTCATCAATTCACGTATATTACATGTACATCATCAATTTAGCACTTTCGGGACATCTGTATTATTGTGCTACATTAACACATTGATGTAGTGATGGATTTTTATAATATGTTATATGATTTAGAGACTTCATTGACTTCATAATGGCACTGTGATGTGACTATTTATTGTAAGTTAAACTTATCTACTTTTGCTATGAAACAGCAACTTTGTGTCAAAGTGATGAATTTATCTTTACTTTAAAAGTCTTAAGTCCCCCTGAAAATGAGAACATCATTGTTGTTTGATGCCGTAGCGCACATATTGTTTACATCACTACCGGTCAAACAAGGGAGTACCAACATGGCGGCTGGTGGCTTCACTTCAACCCCGCACTACCAACGGGCAATCAGAAATCCAGTAAACAAATACGAATAAGTGATATATATAAATAATACATGTTTAAACTCAGAAATAAATGTATTTGGGATCTTTTTAAGAAGTGCAAAATAAAAAAATAAATAAAAAAACATTTGCTTCTTTTTTAATGCTCTTCTCCCAATCTTACAGCAAGAAAAGCTCCTGCTCTGCTATGTAATTGGGTGTGAAATTGTGTTTATGTTTATGTGTACAGCAACTCCTGAGGGAAGGTGAACGTTTCAACGAAGGGGATGAAAAGAATACTGCTCTCACTGCTGCTGCAAATAAAAAATATCTGTTCGACAATGCTAATAGATACAGCAAATAAGAAAAAAGATTTCAAATTGAACAAAGATTAACTAATTTGACTTATGACCATCATTATTTGTTGAAAAGTAAGGAACATGCAAAAGCATCATGCATTAGCATAACAGCTAAAGCTCAGGGAAATGGGAGAGTAAAAAGGCTCCAAGCCCCTTCAGCAAGTGCTCCAGGTGATCCTCAATTATAAGTGAAATTTGACAAACATGTGAGCACCACAATCTGATGCAGATGAAAAACATGACATGCTATTTAATAGCATTAAATACATGCAAACAGCAGGTTCCACAATCCCAGCTGCCTGCTCCAAAAGCACACACGACCTCCGATTTCACCAAGGCATTTCCAGTTTACTTCCCCACTAAGCAAATTCTGCTTGAAAACATCCACATCAGTGTTTTCACTTTTGCATTAGACCTTTAAAATGTCTAATCCTTGTCTTTGTCCCTCTAAAAAAAATGCTAAGCATGACTTGCTGTGGCTGCCGCCATCCGCTCCGTGACGAGCTGTTGCTCGCTCTGAGTCTACCCTTTGGTCTCTGCTATGTACAAAAATATGGCATCTTAATCTTAAGTGCCATTGCTTACCCTGCAGCATATTCATCTCACAGAGACAAGCCTTGTTCAGGAGTTTAAAAGCAGTGCAGTGTCGGTAATGTAACGTTATAATTCTTCATATGGTTTACATTGTGGCTTAATCTCTGCAATGTCGTCCGCCGTGGACATTGTAGCCTTTAGATATTTAGTCAAAATAGGAGTTAGCTTCATAAGCGTTGGCTTTTTCTTCTTGCTGAAATACTGTTATTATACTATGTTATTTTGTAGGCAGTTTCCGTACGGCCATCTTTATTCCTTCATTTATTTAGGACAGGCCCCGATGAAAATGAGTCTCTCTTACTCCCCCTCTGGCCCCACAGCCACCGTCAGAGCCTCTGGGGGTTTTTGTGCAGGTCGAAAACAAATCTCTAAATTCCAACTTCATTTTTTCAGCACTCATATGGCCTGGCTTAGTTTGTGGTTAGAAACCATCCTCTACAACCAGGCTAGAGTCCAAACCACAGCGTTTATTTATTAACAAGGGTTTTACATCATATATTAATATGACCTTAGACACTGATACATCAGACCCATGCACTATGGATTTTGTGATGAAAATGAAAATGCAATCCTTTGTTTTAGTGAGTGAGATCTTGGGTATCTCCAATAATTTGAGGATACAACTCAAATATCTAGTGTAAATCCAAATGAAACTGTTGTTACTGTACCTGTATTACAAGCCCAGGCGCCATAGATGTTAGATCTTCTTGCAGTGTTAATTTGAGGTTTTCATCAATTTGGTCTGTATGGAAATAAAGACAGTGGTTAAGCTCTGTTCATCCATGAGAAAACAATCATATTTTGGCTGCATAAAAGGAATCATTTGAAGCATTGCATTTTCAGTAACTAAAATAACTTAGAAGGGCTCTGTCTGCTCAAACCCTCGGTCAGTCCAAGCAGAAAGCATTTTAAGATGAACCTGGTTCTACTGGAGTTTTCCTCCTGTTAAAGGAGAGTTTTCCTTCCCACTGTCGCTACATGAAATATTGCAGCAAAGCAACTGTCCAATGTTGGTACATGCTCAGGGGGAGTTAATTCTTCAAGTCAGGTAGGTGTCTTGAAATAACACTTTGACCAATATGTCAGTATGATTATGACATGTGTAATAAATTGGAAGTATATACAACTGAACTGAAGAGACTTCAGCTAGGTCTAAATCCTGGATGGTTTCAGCACAGAAATGTTTATCTGCATCGATAATACTTCAGGAAGACATAATGCATTAAACGTTGCATTAAAGTTCTGTAGATAAAACAGGATGGCAGGAACAACAAATCCAGGACTGAGAAAATAGCTTCTGGTGGATTAAAACTACTAATTTCCAAAAATTCAAAAGAAGTGGCTGTGAAATCCATAAGAATTTCAACAAGCTCTGAAACTCAACCACAGCTCTGAATTCCAGCATTGATCTCTGGTTACAGCGTGCAAGTTAAAGGAGAGCTTTAAGAGCAAACCCGTCAGATTGCAGCTGAATATGCAGTTAGGGCTGTCCAAACTTTCCCTTCCTGAAAGCAGGTTTAAATTAGATCAGTTTCACCACAGCTTCCTGTTGACAGGACCCCCTTTCTGCTCAGTGGATAATCCCACATTAAAATATATCAAATGGTCCCATATACCTCTATAAAATTGTGGATCAGACCATGGTTTGAAAGAAAGACTATAAAATGAAGCTGAAGCAGAAAACTAGAATACTGAGATCAAATTTTCTTCTGCTGCCTCAGTTGTTCTCAATCTGAGTCTCTACTCACCAAAGAGGCCGATATAGACTTCTTGTAGTGAATGAACGCTGCAAAACTGGTTGAGTTCGTGGTGCACTTTGTTGAAAATCAAAGCTTTGTCATAATCTGCTGTGAAGTTTCTCACTATGTCATATACTGCAGAGGAGAGGGAGAAGAACCAATATCACAGAACTGACACAGAGGATTGTGGATGAGCAAGACATAACTGTTTATTCCGAATCCATAAAAGATGGCTGCTTCCACAGTACCTGCTGATGGAATGAGGTAGTTCACCACTTCAATGCGGTCAAAGTAAATCATCACTCCTCCACTGAAAAAAGAGGAACATAAAAAAGTATTTTACCAAATATGAAATAATGTATGAGGATGTGCTTATACCGTAAATCCTCTAATATAGGCCAGGGCCTTTATTTCACTCAGGTACATCTTGGTCCAGGCCATTATTGGAAGGAGGCCAGAATTAGAGGCAGGCCTCTATTTCTATTTGATCAAAACAGACTACCAGTGAAATGAATGAAAATGAGATATTGCATCTCTTTGAACCTATAAAATACTAGGTTCATTTATTGAAAGAGTACCGTTATTATAACGGTATTAATGCTGCCTGGTTACCACCAGACCTACCGGTAATCACACGTCTTTCAGATCAGAACGATTGTGTAAGGCCACAACAATCTCTGAGTAAGGATGGGATTCCCATGCTAATGGCTTGGATTCATTAGAAAACATTGCCCCCCTGTGGTACTTATATGTTACTGTCACAAGTTGTTGAGGACTGCCCAGGAACTTCGTTGGTTCTAATTATAGCCCCGGCTTGTATACGAGTCCGGCCATTATTTAACTCCGCCAACAGTGAGACAGGCCATTATTAGAGACCCGGTCGCTAATGAAATACAGGCCAATATTAGAGGATTTACGGTATGTCAGGTCACATTATGGTTTTAAAGGAAAAGTCCGGTCACATTCAGAATACAAACTTCTGAACGTACTTTAAGTATGAAATTATTAGATACTTTTTTTTAAATAAATGAAAAGTGTTTTTAATTAAGAGTAATTTCATTTGAATTACTGGAGAAATCCGTGTTTTTCAAACAACACCACGGCCACCTACCAGTCCCAGTGCTGTATCTGGTGTTTGTCACAACGCACTATTATCCAAGTCCTCTTGAAAACATTCTTCTTTCAAATTTTGGGTACATATTACATGTTTTTTTTTCTCGGGTCAGAAGTTCGATGGAAATTCCTCCCTCTTCAAGTTGGCAATCCAACGAATGAACCCGTCCCTAGAGGATCATGAATCCAAAGGGTGAAATAACACTTTTTTTTTTCAATTTTACCCAATGTATTACGACATCCAACTGCCATGAACATGGGCATTGTTAGTTTAACAATAGCTCTGGTGAATTTGGTTTTGGTTTCTCTGGTGAGATTGGCGCTAGGCTTACCGCACCGTGACGTAACTGCCGGAAGATGTCAGTAGTGAGGTGTTACTATAATTGGGGCAAAAATGGCCGCTCCTGTAATCAGTGATTGCAACGAAAATTATTGTTTTTATTTCTTTACTGATTAACGCTATATTCATTAAATCATTGCAATTATATTAGTTTTACGTACAAATAATGACCCATTGATTATTCCTTGCTTACCGGACTTTTCCTTTAATGTAACAGCAGACATTTGCTCCATTAGCCATGATAAATGTATTAAAGCCAGCCTGAACTGGAAACCCACCTTGTGCCACATGGGACATTCTTCACCTCATCCGTCTGCAGGGTCGTCTGCAGGTCAAAAAGCAGATGGTCACAAGTTCTGGGTAATATTTTCTCAAGTTCTGCTTCTGATTTTTCTGTTACTGAGATCATTATTTTGATAAGACAACCAACACTGGAGCTGGGAGTAAAACTATCAACATTTTGCAACCAGATTTATATAATAAATAATGGGGATTGTTAGACATTCAAAGAAAACATCTCTAAAAGAAAAATATAAAAGCACAAAGTATTATAGGCCTGTTGAAACAGATCCTTCAAAGTACGGTGTGTGAACAAACATTGAACCAAGTAGTCATACATTTTATCCCTGAAGCAACATAACAGGCTGCTCTGCTGCTAGTCCCTGAAGCTTACATTTCAACGCAGATCATTTTAATACACATCTTTCTTCTCCCAACTGTGTGTCTGGGAACTGGCTTCGCTCACTAGACCTACAGCTGCAGCCAACCGCTTTGGCAGAAGCACAAGTTATTTAAAACACATTGCAGCTTTTGCTTGTTTCTGTGCCAACAACTCTGTCCTTGGCAGAAAATCCCAGCGTACTCCAGCTCAGTTGCATCGTAAACACAGATGAAGCTGTAAGAGTACAGCTGGAATCACTATTATTCTGATTAGCAGACTTATTGCTTTTAATTCAGACAGCAGGTTTTCAATTTTTCTAATTATTTCTGCCCTGTTTTAGGAATGAAACAGACAACGAGGCTTCAGTATGTCTGATTGAATCCAAACAGCATCAGCACAGTCAGCTGTTAAGCACCGCACTGCAGTAACATGCTACCACAACTTCAGGGCAAAAATATCTGCTTAGGCCCAGAAATACTATCCAGGAGAAAAGGAAATACTCTGTAGATATGACAGTGTGTTTGAGATTGGGCATCAGGAAAAGCGTATGCCTAGAAATGCCTAGTGATGCTAAAGCAAATGCGTTAGCAATCACATAGGCTGCTAATGGTCATTATGTTGATGAACACACTGGTTGGAATGGCATCTCAACCAAAAAACAAGTTTTAAGACATGTTTGCTTATTACAAGTGTGTCCAACTCTTAATCTTTAAATCACAATGAAATCATTGTGCTGCACTGATGGATAATTGCTCTGCTTTTGAGCACCTTGTCTCTCAGATTAAATGTTTGTATCCTGATTTTAGGCGCCCCTTTCTTGCCGTGTTCTACTCACTTGTACAGACTTGTATGTGGTGATGAATGGAAGCATGAGGTGGAACCCCGGGCCGCTGGTGGTAGTAAGGAGCGCCCCTCCCCTGGGATACAAGTAGAACACATTATGAGCTATATCCCTTTTTAAATATTAGCAACACAGATGAAAAGTACAGATCATTTTCAGAGTCGTCCAAATTTGTAGAAGTTAAACACAGATCAGAGAAAATGTGGTGCTTCAATTGACTTGTGTTACGCTGTCCAGCGAATCAAAATATTAAACACAGACAATTTCACATTCTTATTGAACAAGCTTCCCTTGAAAGGAGATAAGAGAGAATTTCCTGCTAAATATTAGTCCTGTTCTCAAATATGTGCCAGAAAGCAGGAATCAATCCATCACACTCAGAAAGACATGTCTGCACTAGTTTTCATAGTTCTGATAGCCCTTAAAGCACAGCATAGATAGCATGTAGGGGAACCTTCATGTTAATTACTGTTCTTGCTCTTCCACTGTTAAAATCCTTGGAAAAACTTTCCCAATACTTACTTTCCTTCAGACTCACCTGTAATACACTCCTGTGTGTCCTTCCTCAATTTTGTGCACAGAGGCCAACAGCGCCGCTCCTCCAAGAGCTGCAATTATAGAGAAGACGGCCCCCCACTGAGCCATCCCTGCTAACCGATAGAGAGAGACAACAGAGAAAATCAGTAGATGGATTTTAAGACAACCTTTCATTATGGGACAACTTAACTTTTCCATTTAACCAGGCGGGTAACAGTCAATGTTCTAACACAGCAGGACTGGCTTCTTGCTCACAGGTTTATCCTCACTGGCTTTGCAGGGCATTAGCAGGGACTCCAACCCCAGTCCATACTTAAAGAGGATTGAGATTAAACCACAGAAACATAACCGTTCTGAACAGTCAGACAAATGCATGTGCATTTTGTGACCTTTTAGGGCCCCCTTCTGGACTGAGGCAGAGCAGCAATATTGTCTCAGTCATTTTTAATTTAAGACAAAGAATTTAAAAGTAACATTAGCATTGTTTAATGCTAATGTTTCAGCTGGAATTGGTTAACATAATTATTGTGGAGCTTTTTTCAGGAACCTGCCAGTTTGCTATTAATTCACTGTCCAAATAGTTTAATGGGATACTGGTTTAAAGTTGGTTAATATTGTTACTTAATTATTATATGGTTTAAAGAACTGGTTGGATGGGTTGGGGGAATCCGTTAGCACTAAAAACTGAAAACATTTTGATATTGACTTGATGAATGTTTTTAATTTTAGCCTGTTTTAGTGACTCTTTCCCTCCTATTTCTTATAGACGAGCCTTAGGCTTGATCCGAAGGAAGTGGAATTACGTCGGCGGTCGTCATTATTAGTGCTATCCGAATAGAGCAGGCAGTAAAGAAGGAGCTAGCAGCAGGAAGATTCCCAGCATAGATTCATTTAGATTAGGGACTTCTGAATGTTTCTATGGCCACTACCTGTGTGTGACACATGTTAATATCCAATTCGTATTTTGGGGGGTTTATAATGGTTTCCACCAGGATGATGCGGTCAGCCGTGCCATTTTCATGAAGTATGGAACCACAGTGGTAGATGGAAGAAGTCCAAGGGGCAAACAGAGCACCCAGCAAAGAGAGGTGGCAGCTAGCCGGGGCCCAATCAGAATCTGAATCAGGTTTATTGCCATTGTTAGTGAAGGAGTTCACAAACTAGGAATTTTTTATGGTACAATCGTGCAACATGAAACATATAATATGGAATAGGTAAATAACATTATAAAAATATCTAAAACACTGTGGGTATAAGGCATGCAATAAAATAGACTAATATATACACTTAAGATAAAAATATGGATATAAAATATAAAAAGTAAAATAGCATCTTACAAGGAGTGCAAATAGAGCTGTGTGTAAATAGAGCAGAGTAAATGGCATGGGCAGGTTATAGAGTCTGACATATAGTTAGGTGTTCATGAGTCTTATGGCAGAGGGGAAGAAGCTGTTTTTATGGCGGGAGGTTTTAAGGTTATCTGTGGGAGGTGGAAGGGGGGTGGTGGTACATCAGAGAAGTCCATCAGGCAGAGTGCATCAAAGTGGGGAAATGCAGCAGCAAACGGCCAGTGTCTGTGCTGGAGGAGGTGAGGAAAACGAAAAGTCCTTCTAGGCTTAAGAAGAAATGTGATGAATTGGGAGTATATACAACTGAACTCCAGGGAGTTAAATGGAGTATTTAGACCCTGAAACGTACCTTTAGCTGAAAGAGTGACCAAATTTAGGACAGTAATTATACCAAGATTGTAAAAAAAAAAAAAGATTATATATATATATATATATATATATATATATATTAGTGCTGTCAAAATTATCGCGTTATTATCGCGTTAACGCGAGGCCATTTTAACGGCGATAATTTTTTTAACGTGAGATTAACGCTATGTGGTTTTATGGTACAATTTTCCAAGTACATCCCGCTGCAGCCTGCGAGAAGGCGGGGCTATTTCCCCCCAGTGTATGCATTTTCCATAGGCTTCAAGAGCGGAGGCTCTTGAAGCCTATGGAGCGTCTTTTTTCCTCAAGGAAAAAAGACGCTCATACACTGGGTGACGCTAGTGCCTTTTCTTTAAGCCCCACCACCAACAAACTAGTTGAGTGTCTGGTAACTAGTAGCAACCTGAAATACGCTGAGAAAACTGATTACTGAGGTGAAATGGAATCTGCTACGGCACACTTGCTGTCTGTGTACGCCACAGGTCGGTATCGTGTGTGTGTGTGTGTGTGTGGGTGGGTGTGTGTGTGTGTTTTCTCATTTTTGTTAAGAGGCTGAAAAGTAACTTTCTAGAGCATAGACTACCTCCATCTAGTGATGTCGGTCTATTGATTTTGATGTATTGATTGAAAATTGTTCATTATTATCTTGGTTAATTAACATCTAATGTTAACTGTACTACATTTTATAGCAGTACGGTAAAATGCTTGTCTTTGTTCAAAAGACTGTATTAACTGTAAAGACTGTCTTTTACATCAGCCTGTTTTCAGGGCCTTTTTTTTGGCTACATATTTGTTATTTTTTGCTACATGCCTCCCGATCTTCTTGCCATATGTTTCTATGGCATAAATCAGTGTCTGTGACCTGTTTTCATTTAAAAAAAAGAACAGTGGCACAAACCTAGCCTGTATGTATTTTTTGTATGTCATCGAGAGTATTTAAATGATTTTCAATCAGAAAAAAAATTTGCGATTAAAATGCGATTAATCGCGAGTTAACTCAGGCATTGATGCGATTAATCGCGATTAAAAAAATTTAATCGATTGACAGCACTAATGTGTATATATATATATATATATATATATATATATATACACACCTTTTGCAATTAACATAAACATTTTTTCATCTGCCAATATGCTCTATCCTATCCAGAACTCCTCAAACAGAAAAGTTTGAATTTCACCGGGTTAAATTTCGTAACAACTCTTCTTTAAGGAATGTTTGGCTATCCGATTAATAAGGAGAACAGTAATGTGTGTGTGTAAACAGATTAATCGATTTGCAAATTAACCGTCAGGAGCAGCCCTAACCACAATCATACCTCAGTGCTTTTGGCTTTGCAAATAACACAATTATTACACGATGGGAACCCTTTAGAATAAATCTTAGCACATCGTGGGGACCGTGTCCTCTATTGGGGTCCAATGTCTGGTCCGCATGGGTACAAATGCTGTTTTACTGGCTCAGGTGTTAGGTTTATGGTGTGAATTTAGTTTAATTGAGAATTAGGGTTAGGTTCACAGTTAGACTGTAAAAATGGGTTAAAAATTAATGGAAGTCAATTGGAGGTCAATTGTGTGTGTGTGTGAGCTAGAACTGGGGGTGGTGTATTGTCAAATATTGATATTGATATCGATACAGGTCCAAATTGGTCCAAATGAGGACATGCATCGGGTCCCCAAATGATAAAGTTTTCTTCTTTGAGTTGGGGTTAGGGTTAGGCATATGTTGGTTATAGAATTAGGCGTATGATTTGAATGTATTTAAATGAAATGTCTCCGAAAGTCATGCAAACAAAGGCAGTATGTGTGTGTGTACAAACACTTGTCTAACTGTCTTTGGAGGGCCTTTCCATTGACTTCCTTTAATTTCTCCAGCCTATGACCCAAACCCCTAAACCTAACCATTACGGGTTCATACCTAATCCTAACCTAAACTCAATTCCGACCTTAGTCCTAAACTTGACCTGTGAGTCAAAAACAGCCCTTCCATAGACCCCATTAGGAACAGCCGGTCCCCACAGCATCCTATTTGTTCCAGAAAATGGGACCCACAATGCATGAAAACACGTACATTTTAATTACACTTTATTCATTATTTAAAATGTTTATTTTAAAGGTAATTCAAAGTCAAAATCCTTTTTTTTTTATCTTGGATTCATAGTGAGTCATTTGTCTTTCAATTTATGTATTCCTCTTAAAATTGGTGCCTGTTTACCTTCCCCTGCTGCTGAAACTGAAATTTCCTCAGCAGATCAACGTTTATTTTATTTCTATGTTATTAATTGTATGATTAATATCGATGTTTATTTTACGATTTCCCTAAACTGTCCTTTAGAGAAGAAGTCCTTCTCTCTTTTAAGGCTTAAGGTGAATAACTGATCTTACCAAAGGAAATTTCTTTGAATTTGAGGAAGATTTTTACTTATAACGATTTAACTTGTACTGCTTTTATTCTTGGGCCAATTATTCTTCCTCAATAATCTGGTTCTTAAAGAGAAATGAGAAGCAAAAACTGTTTTTACTTTATGCAAAAAAGAGAGAATCAGAAATTAGCCACAAAATTAGTATTTAAGATTCTGTTTTTTTTTTTTTTTTTTTTTCTATAGTTGCTTGTTTTCAAAACTCCAAGAAAGCGGATCCTGTTGGCATCAGTGATCAGGGCCAGTGATGAGCGTCAGTCTGGGTTAGTGAGGATTTGCAGATGCAATCTGGTGGAGCTTATGGCAGAGGAAGGTCTTTATTCTAGCAGATGTTTAACAAACACTCTGTGCTCTTCTGTCTCCATATTCCCACAGAAGTGGAAAGGTTTTTGTTTCAGTTTGTTCCCCTTTGTTTTCAGATTCAGAATGAGTGGATTACTATTAGTTTCGAAGCATTCATTCAGGAGTTCCAAACCTAAACCATAAATATACCACCAAAATCAACTGGTTAATGTGTTTTGTTGTTATTTTGTTTGTTTGTTTGTTTTTTATGGTGAAACGATTGTGTGACTGTAAAGCTTTAAATACTTGCGTGAAAATAAACACTTTTTAGGGCTCAGGTCATATAAATCAACAACATTGTTTGGGCTAACAGCGTTAGCAGCAGAAGAGGCCCGTTTCTAACTGCCTCACCTGTTCAGGTGCTACTTTACCGTGTTTTAAATAAAATCAAGGTGTCAAACGCAACATTAGGAGACGTTTTTACTGTTTGATTACTTACAAGGAATCAACACTGTTGTAGAAATTCTCACCAAAATAAATATATTACGTTCATAATTAAGAAACCTGGAAAGAGCGTTAGGTAGGTAGAAATGTCTTACCTGATGTAGTTTTTAGTGTAAACAGCAGAGCTGACGGCAGGAAGTAGCCTCTTCTACTGCGCTTCCTTTGGCTGATCATGATATGCTGTGTTGCATTAGCGCCTCCTGGCGGAAATCCTCCAAACATAATAATGACTTTCTGTTGCTACCTGAAGTTCATTTTCCACTCACCTTAAGCGTTGTTTTCAGTAAAAGGGAATTAATGTTAATTAATATATTTAACACTATGAAACAACACGTTTGTTTCAGAAGAATTCTTCTTTAATTGCCTTTTTAATT